AACTGAGCAAGATAAAATCAATCAAAAAAATTCAAATTGATCAGAAAATGATTGACTAACGTCACTCACCACTTTTAATGCACGGAAAAAGCTGTCAGCATCGTGGAAATTCGGATTCACCAATGAAAACACCATTCCAGCTCTGCATGCGGCAAAAGCACTCAAGAACACCTAAAAACCAACTACAACGATAGATAACGCGAAGCCGAAAGTAATAAGGAAACAGAAAATCAAGGATAACCCACAAGAGCATCTAAAACGGGTTTTCAGAAAAGATTATGAGCTCTGGATCGCAGAAGCTATGACTAAAGACTATCAAGCCGAGGTCTTTACCAGACTTACATGATAAGGGTATTCGGGGTTAGAGTGGTAACTAGGAAAAGAGACCAATTAGAAACTACAGGAACCATTTGTGCGTTGATATGGAGTGGTAGTCAAAGAATAGATTCCCTGGAGGATTAGAGGGAAGAAGAAGTGGGGTTGGAGGGAGCGTATAGGCTTGCTATCTTCCCACAGTTGTGGAGAATCTGCAATCTGGGTGTTAAACCAAAGCGTCTATGGTCTACTCTGTTTTACTACCAAAAGCCCGGGCCAGAAAAAAAAACCATAATTTTGTCTGCACAAATGCAACCCTTGTTCGGAGAATTTCACATTTCAAGTTTTCACGTTTACTTCAATGGATACCAGCTGCGATGATTTTGAACGCATGGCGCAAGCTAGAGGGAATGATCATCTGCCGTACTACGTGAAAACCTGTGAAAGGTAAGCTGAACAGCTTACTTGCGAGTGGTTACTTCCACAGATCAGTATACGGTCGCCAGGAGTCAATCCAATGGAGAGGAGTCCAGCAGCAAGCATTTCCATCTAAACAGAAGACCACAAATGATTTTCAAATGAAATCTGAGAAATTTTGGATAAAAAGGTAATTAATGGTTCAAATATTGACTAATGTATCCTTCCTAGACCTCCTTCATGCTCATTAAAAATTTTNTGGTTCAAATATTGACTAATGTATCCTTCCTAGACCTCCTTCATGCTCATTAAAAATTTTTTTATAACCCCATTTATTAGTTTGCACCAAAAATACTGCCACTATGCTGGTGTACATGTGGCACATCTATCAAAATCGAAAAAGTCGTCAGGTGTTGCCTACCTAAAACCAACCGCTAGCTAATCGCGTGAGTCTGCCAAAAGTTCTGGATCTATAAAACAACAGGGATGTGAATAAATGAGAATAACATCCTGCTTAGAACGATACTATGAAAAATTAACATCGAAAAATGTCAAATTGCTCCTAAAAGTTCAAAAGATATTCTCAGGAACTACAAGAACTTCCAGGCTGGGAGTCCTACTAAGGAACTAGCACAGAAGAAGGGCAAAGAATTTTTGTGAATAAACTGAAGGTGAACAGTAAGTGGTATTCCCCACTTCTATGTTTACGCTCATCACTTTTCTGAGCAAACAAGTAAGTAAATAAGCTGTTTTCTACTCATTTGGCTTCGGGAAATGGTTGTCGACAGTAGCAAAGCGTTTTGCTTGTGTTTTACATTGTGGCGCGTCATTCAAGCACAATAAACAGGTAAAAATCAGATAGATAAACAAGTAAACAAAAAGACAAACAAGTAAATAAACGAATATATAAGTCGTTGTCCAGTTTACCTCATTGGCCACTTTTGCAAATGTGTATGAAACTTTTTCGGCATCAAAAACTACGGCTACACGATCACTCTTGGCCCTTGTATAGACCAGTTCCGGGATGGTTTGCGATGAGAAGTCAACTTGCTTCGGCGGTGGAAGCTTTGATGCACCCTAAAGTCGGAAAACTTCACGATTAAATAGATTGATTAAGGGAAACAAAGGAGAACAAAATAGACTCGGAAAACTCACGCTAACCCATCCATTGTAATCAATACAATAGGTTTGATGGAACAACTCCATACAGTTCTAAATAATTTGTCAGTACACCGAGATATTGTGCACAACATACAGTACATGTGCTCCATTGCGACAAACAGTGCGAAAGAAAGAAGGAAAATGATATAACGACTGATAATATGAAATAAAACACGATCAAATTACATTGGAATCAGATG